TCGATTTTATTATTTATATTATATTTAACTTTATAATGCTATAACTTATTGAAAAGTTTATGGATCCACACAATTTTTTTATGAGAAATAATATTTTTTAATAAACCCTTTTTCATTTGACATACTTTATCTTAATCGAGATATTAATAAGGAACCAGCAGATCAAGTAGCTTTTGGAATAAAACACCAATTTTTTTTAAATTAAACACTATCTAAAGATTTGCATCGAAGCGTTTTATTTTGATAGTGATTTTAATCACTGTCAGATATCATTATACTTGATCCAACTATGCAACGTCACCACTGTGCCGCAACCCCCCTGTGCTGGGTTTTTTTTTTTTCATTAAAACTTATTCGTGAAAACTTATGAGTGTAGTCATTTAATAACTAGCGATATTTTTAGGGCATCAAATTATTAACCGTGAATCCAAACGGATCTTAAGCGGACGAAATGGCTAAAAAAACACAAGAGTTTTTTCTATAATTATACGATTCACCGAATTTCGACCACTGTAAGACAATTACGATATGTTTACAAATACCGTACCACCCACCTACCGTTCATAAATATGGGCTAATCATTACTCTTTGCAAACAAAATTATCGTATTAAATAATTTTATATTATAAAAAGTGATTTAATTAAGGAAAATACTAGTTGATAACGACATTTGACCCTTTTTTTGAAATTTTTTAAAATAAAGAATTGTGGTGTAGCCATGTATAGTTTTAATTAGATATTTCTCGACCAAAAATTAAACACTTTTTATTAGATAGACGTTGAACAATCTATGTTACAAAAATTTGTTATAACCTTTTTTCGTTACATTATTGTTTACTGCATTTTTAATTCCGTGGAATTTTTTTTATTTATAATAATTAAAAGGATATATATAAAAAAACTAAATTTCTACATCTATTTGTCAATTATTAACCCCTTTGAGGCTCGTGAAGGAGTTGACCTTAAAATTCACAAATATTTTCTGTGTGCTATTTTAAATACGAATGTAAAAAAATAACTCTNATTTATCACAATTATTAAACAGCCATATTTTTAAATATTAAAAATTGAAAAAAAAAACATGATACTTATTAACATTGATATATCGTAACTATTTGATATAATATTTTATAAGAAGCTATTAGTTTTAGCTTCGATGCGAAGCGGAGAAGGTATTAATTTTACTATGATGTGTTTTTTTTTTTTTTTATGTCTGTT